GGGCCCGGGCCCCGAGGTGGCGCTCGTGAGGCCTGTCGGGGCCGGGGACGCGGTCCTAACCCCGGCTCCCCTCCGCCCCGCCCCTCCAGTGCAAGTCCTGGTGGACGGAGCGCCCGTGCGCATTGAGCTCTGGGACACCGCGGGACAGGTGAGAAGCGGGAATGGCCTCTGCTGGCCTGGGGAACGGGGGTCTGGAGGCTGGGAGGACCCCAGATGGATCAGGAATGGAGAAGGCCTTGGGCTCTTGGTTTACGAGTCTCAGGTCTCCCACCCTGTGTGCAAAGTGAATTCCCGCTCCCTGTGATAGGGAATAATCCTACTAATTAATGACCTGGCCTTCCCATCCCAGGAAGACTTTGACCGCCTTCGCTCTCTCTGCTATCCGGATACCGATGTCTTCCTGGCCTGCTTCAGCGTAGTGCAGCCCAGCTCCTTCCAAAACATCACTGAGAAATGGCTGCCCGAGATTCGCACCCACAACCCCCAGGCGCCGGTGTTGCTGGTGGGCACCCAGGCCGACCTTAGGGACGATGTCAATGTCCTGATTCAGCTGGATCAGGGGGGCCGGGAGGGCCCCGTGCCCCAACCTCAGGCTCAGGGTCTGGCCGAGAAGATCCGGGCCTGCTGCTACCTCGAGTGCTCTGCTTTGACTCAGAAGAACTTGAAGGAGGTGTTTGACTCAGCCATTCTCAGTGCCATCGAGCACAAAGCCCGGCTGGAGAAAAAACTGAACGCCAAAGGTGTACGCACCCTCTCCCGCTGCCGCTGGAAGAAGTTCTTCTGCTTTGTTTGAACAGCTATGGCAGAGTAGGGAGCAATAGGCATGAAGCCACAGACATCTGGAACCTGGGGTAGGGGGCTACTGGCAGGGCCAGGCTACCCCATGAGACTCAGTTCCCTTCTGAACACTGTGGGGACGAGGGCCTCTAACTGCCCATTCATGCCAGGATGAGCCTAGAGCCTGGAGGAAGGAAGGCTGTAACTTGGATTTCTGTGGTCAAGGTTTACAGGAAAGTCCTAGCACTTTGATTTTCATGGGATGGTACTAACAGTGTCAGCCACCTTCAAGCAGTTTGGGATCCATTTCCCAGTTTGTTATCATGGGCCCTCAGGTGGGGCTGGCTGAATTAGGACCCGTTGTGGTGGGCCCTACCCCCTCCTTGGCACAGGGGTGAGGAAGAACCCAGGGAATAGCTGGACATCTTGGAGGGCTGGAAGACGTCCAGCCCTATTTGGAGAGAAGTTTGGGATGGACTGTGTAAGGTAGAAGTCAGTGAAATATTGAGAAGGACCAGAAAGTGAGGCCTTGGAGCCTTAGGACTGGAGGCAGGCTGGGGAGGAGAAGGCAGATCAGAGAGCTAGGCCTGGAAGGAGTAAGGGTGAGAAAAAGAGCAGAGAAGTGGGGCAGCTGAGGGGTAAGACTGACACCTGGGCTGCCCTCAACCCCCAAGGCCAGGGAGGGCGGGGCTGATCCCTGGGAAGAACTGGGTCTCAGGGCTCCCTAGGCACTGCCCAAACTGGCTGGGCTAGGAGTGGGGCAGGAAGTGAGAGGCAAGGCCCAGCAGAGGAGGGGGAGAAGTTGCAAACCGGAGCCTGAAGGAAGGGGCTGGGGGTCACTTTTTTCTCCAAAGTCACAGCCTAGAAGGTAGGGCAGTGCAGAGTCTGCAAATAAAGACTTAAGTTTCTGAAACTACTGGCTCTGTGTCATTTCCTGGAGCAATTACCCATTGCTCTCTTATAGCCCTCCTCAAGGCCCAACAGTGTGGATAGAGACTGCTTGGTTACCAAAGGACTGGGGCTAGATTGAAAGGTGGGGTCTGGGCTAGATGGGACAGTGTGATGGGAACCGGATGGGGGGGGGCAGGTTTGGTGCTCCCCGCTTGGGGCTTAGCTGGTTCCCAGGAGAGCTAGCGTGGGAAGCAGCCTGGAAACGGGTTTCCCCAGGTGTCAGCGCCAGAGCTGCTTTCCCATGACCTCACCGGTTGGGTGGTGCCCCTCCCCTCTCCCCCTCCTTTCTAGAGCACCTTGCTCACTGCTAAGGCTCTGGGGCAATCCCGAGCCCTCTAACCCTCCTTCTCTGATCCTTCTAACAGTTTTCAGGGCCTAGGGGCTCAGGTTGGGGGCCACCTGTTTCAGAGCCTGAGCATGGAGGGACCCCATAGAGTCTAAACCTCAACCTGTGGCCAAACTTCTTGGACTTGGGTTGGTTGGACCCAGTCTTCAGCCATGACACTCAAAGTTCACATAAGAACCTAGTCACAGTACTGGTTGTCAACAATTTAAATAGAAGTTTGGTCTCAGAAATCCTGTGGGAGTGAGGGTTCATTTCATGAGGACCTTGAGAGGAGCAGAAATCCAGAGACCATTCCCTGGAATTGGAGCTGGAAGGAACTTTAAAGGGCACCTTGGGGGGGAAACACTTTATTTTACCCATAAGGAAAGTGAGGCCCAGAGAAAAAAGGTTCTTGATATTGCCAAGTGGCTGTAAGAGCACTTTGCAAACTCTAGAGTTGGGTACAGGGGTAAGTGTTATTCCTGTGGAGAGGTATTTCTAAGTCATACCTCGTACACCTGCTAGGCAACTGCTGGGCCAAGTGAGCACTCACCCTGTCTCAACCCAGCTTCCTCTGTAGGAAGTTATAGCTGTGTGTGTGAAAAAGTGAATGGCTGAGGGACAGAAATCTCAGCCAAGTGAAACCTCAGATAATCCCCAAGTCTAGTTTTCGCCAAGATTGTCCTGCTCCTGCCCCACCAGGGCCCATCCCCCAGAGCTCCAGCCACCTCACCTCTCTCTGTGCCCTTGCCCATTCAGGTGGAGGTGCTGAGCTGCACACTGGCAGCCAGGGCCTGAGGGGGTCTCACACTCTAGCTCCACAGCCTATTGTTACCTCAGCTCAGCCTGACACATCCCCTGCTAGGGCAGAGACCTAGGTTCAAGGTAGACTCTGACATCAACCATGACCTTAGGCAAACCTTTTCCCTTCTCTAAGCTTCGGTTTTCTTATTTGCAAAATGAAACACTAAGAGCTCTGAATTAGAGGTTTTCAAACTGCTCCAAGGAGTTATAGATGTACCATGGATTGGGAGAAGAAGCTTAATCAGATGACCTCTACCCTGCCCCCCCACCCTCAATTCTTCCCTTAGTCTCTGATGGTACCAGCATATTCACGTCACTATGTCTCCTCTCCTGCTGGGTCGCTGAGCCTGGCCAGCACCTTCATCAGCCTCACCCCTATGTCCCTGCCACTGCTGCTCCCTACTCCAGTCCCTCCAACACTGCTACCTTCCCTCTGGTACCTCCCCACTCGAGACTGTTACTAGCTCTCATTGCCAGAAATGAACTCCTAGCTTCTCATTTCAGCATTCAAGGCCTTCTCAAACCTGACCCAACCTGTGCCAGCCAGCTTGTCCCAGTGATTCCCACTCCCTGATCCCCAATTATTTCTTAACTTCTGACTCCAAGCCTTTGCTCTTGCCAAATCCTCTAGTTTGGAAAGTGCCCCTCACCCCATGCCCTGTTTTTTCTCTAACTGTCTTCCAATACTCCCCTTTTCCAACTCTCCTTCTCCACACTGCTCTCTTGCACATTGAAGACACTCTGAATTTGGTCACTCACTCAAGTTATATCTCCTTAGCTAAACTGAGAGAGAGAATCCCATTCATACCTCTACCTCTGTACTCCCACAGGGTCTTGGGCTCAAGTAATGTTTGCTGCTGGCCCTTAAGAGATTAAGATAAAAAGACAACCAGTGCAGTTCCAGGTTTTTGTCACTGAAATCTGGAGACAGGCCTAAGAGCATGGCTTGCTGGAAAGGCCCCTGCAGGACCAGAGAAATTTACCTCTGGTTCCAAACTCAGCAGTTAGCTCTTCTACTACCTCTAACATGATCTCTCTCTACTTTTTTTTTTTTTTTGGTTGTTGTTTAATTTGAGAGAGAGAGAGAGAGCGAGAGAGAGAGAAAGAGAGATATTTGCTGTTCCACTTACTTATGCATTCATTGGTTGATCCTTGTATGTGCCCTGACCAGGGATCAAGCCTGCAACCTTGGCATATCAGGACAAAACTCTAACCAACTGAGCTACTCAGCCAGGGCTCTCTCTACTTTTCTGATAATGTTTTTATCTCTCTTTCCTTTGCCTCTTTTTCCCAGCTTTCTCCACTTTTAAATTTTGAATCTAAATTTAAGGGAATATTGATTACATTAACTGGATAAAATTCTGTTTCTTACATATACACTTACACATATGCCCTTGTCGATGTAAATTATTTTTAATGTCTGTGTAACCAAACTTTAGTGGATTTAAAATATATATTTATTTTTTTGATATAAATACTCAGAAGAATTAGAAAATTCAAAGAATTAAAAGATTAAAAATTTACTCATGGTGTTAACTCCCAAAGATAACCTTTTGATAAACTTTCTTCCAGTCTTTTCTTGTATATATATTTTTTAATCCTCACTAGAGGATATTTTTTCCATTGATTTTTAGAGAGAGCAGAAGGAAGAGAGAGAAAAACACAGATGTGAGAGACAAAATGATTGGTTGTCTCCCGTACATGCCCTGACTGGGGTGGAGACCAAGTCTGCAACCAAGGTACATGCCCTTGGTTGGAATCGAACCTGGGACCCTTCAGTTCGCAGGCTGACGCTCTAACTACTGAGCCAAACTGGCTAGGGCTGTATGCATATTTTTGAAATATTTTTTGTGATCATGTTGTATATACAATGTTGTAATTTTTGCTTTTTTCATTTAAAATTTTAACTCTTTTTCCATGTAATTATAAACTCTGACGAGAGGTTGTAATCATAGTGTCTGCTTACTGTTTTACCCTGACCATAATTTCTTCAGCTAGATCCCCATTTGGGGCATTTAGGTTGTTTAACTTTTTTTTCTATTATAAATAAGACTAGATCGACAGTTGATTATTTTTTCTACCATTGGTTGGTGACCACCTAAAGAAAAGGAGTTATTACCTTTGGCTTAGAGGCTGGGCCCCAATATAATCAATCCCAAGTTACTCTTGAGGGAGCTTGGGTTTCTCCATATATGTAACTTGTGGGGAGAGGCTCTTTCTATTGAAGCATTACTAGCAGATTGCAGGTGTTTAATAAATACTAAATGATTGCAAGGTGTATATGCATTATATATTTGTGTACAGGTACATCTCTCTGTGTCCCTGTTTTTGCTCTTGTGTATTTAAAGTGGGTATTGTCTTTGTGCAAAACTCTGAATAATCCCATATCCGTGCAACTCTGTGTATCTATGTAAATGTGGGTGTCTATCTTTATACAAGATGTGTATGGTCCTGTATGTGTGTCTGTGTATCCAGATGCCTGCCCTTAGGAGTGTGTATTATACATAATCCTATGTGTGTGTCTGGGTGTGTAGGTTAGTCTCTGTGCCCGTGTGTGCACATCTAGGTTGGGCCTAGTTTCTTGGGGGCTGTGTGTTTATGTGTCTGTGCCTGCCTAGGCTCAGTTCTGTGTGAATGTCTTTCTCCATGTGCATCTTCTGCTGGGTGTGTGTGTTGGGCCTGAGCAAGGCACGTGTGCCTTGCTTGCTTTCCCCCAGAGAGCTGAATGGTGCCCAGAGCAGAGGCGACACACCCTCCCTGAGCTCCCCATTCTCTTGGGAACCAGCTTGGGAGAGTGAGTGAGACCAACAGCAGACTGCGTCAGGAGCACGGGCCCCTTTTGCAACCAGCCCAGGCCCCAGGCAGTAACTGAGGCTCTCACAGGTCAGACCTGCCCACTATGACTGGCTGCCAGGAACCCCGGCTCCCAGCAGGGCTATGCTGTCAGCGCCCTCCTTGGGCCTGGGCCAGATCCTCCATGAGCAGAGCTCAGCCAGCTGAGGGGCCACGTCAGTCACCCTGTGGCAACAGCAGGGAGTGACTTCCTGGACCTGGGCAGGGCTGGCTGTCCCAGGGAACCATTGCTTTCTGTACCTGTGCACAGCAACACTTAGGCCACCTTATCTTCTCCATTAGCATCTTCCATTCTTACAACTGAACTTCAAGGTAGGCTAGATGGTTCATTTAAATTTTTTTTTTATTGATTGAGGGGGCATTGATTTGTTGTTCGACTTATTTATGCATTCATTGGTTGATTTTCTTATGTGCCCTGACCAGAGATTGAACCTGAAACCTTGGCGTATTGGGACAACGCTCTAACCAACTGAGCTGCCTGGCCAGGGCCCAGATGGTTCTTAGCTCCAATTTTCAGATGAGACCAAAGCACAGAACCACACCACCGAGGTAAAGGCAGAGCTGGGCCTTGGACCAGGGTTTCCTGACCCTGTGTCCAAGCCTCTTTCTAGTGTGCCACCTAGGGGAGGGGGGTCTGCTCCCTAGAA